ACAATAGAACAGAATTCGAAAAAATAAAATAGGTACTTTTGTAGCCCACAATCTGGCGATTCCGATCGAGTGAAACACTTTCTTGTATCTTTTTTTTACAAAGAACTAGATAGTTTTGCAAGAATACTCATAAATACATGTTATGAGACATGTTGGAACTATCTATATTTGACAAGGTTTTTTAGACCTTATTAATTGGAGTCCTATTCAAATAACATTTTTCTACTCAGATTTTGATGATGAATCAAAATAAAATGTGTTGAGAAAGTTCGAGAAAAGAATTTAATTGAAATCTAACAAATTGTTTAAGGCCCCCTCCTCAGAAAAGTCAATTTTGGTCAAATTTATCGATTTTGTCATTTATAGCTCGTTAGATAGAGCAATGTGTTTACTCTCGAATGCAATAAAGTTGATTGATTCTATGATGAGATTTAAGGATATTGCATAGGTTTTTCTGAACCTCCATATTGAAAAACTAAGGTTTTTAAAAACTTTTTTTCCGTTTTTCGCAAAATCCGTTTTGTTGAGCATACCGTTTACGCGGGCAAACCTTACTCAATAGCGACTCAATATAAAGTGGTAATGTTTTTTTTTGTTATAAAGCAGATACTTGAGGCTAGGTCGTAATAGAGCCCGATTTTTGAATTTCTCCTTTGTTTAAATAAACAACTTAGATCTTTGATTTTAATTAGCGATTTTTTGGCTACGAATTTGAGAATTTTTCGAAAAGCTTTTTTTAAAAAGCAAACAAAGGGAAATTAAAAAATCGGGCTCTATTATGACCTAGCCCTAAGGGTACTCTACAATTTAAAAACCACCCCGATATGCTTAGCTCGTATCCTCATTTTGAAAACCTTTCCCGCGTAAAGAGTATTTTTGACCAATGAATTGACTATTACTCGTGAGTGTCTCGCAGATTTGGGGAGATGTTTTAAGCATAATCTATTCTAGCGAAGACTAACATTCTCTGAAATTTTGGTTGAATTCCATGGAAAAATAAAAAAGTTTGTTTGTGAGGGGGACCCTTAAAGAAAGCGAATTAATATTTATTAATGCTATATTCCTAGTCATTCGAGATTTTTACGTCTTTTTCAACCAAAGAGTGGTTAACCTGGCATGAAAACTATGTAGTCGTGACGAGCTCGTCAAATTCAACCGAACCATATATAAACGAATGAGAAAAAAAATTTATTCAATTTGTACATTATGGGACACCTTAAAAACAAAGCATTTGAATCAGATTCATAAGAAAGCGGGTATGTGTTTAAAAAAGAATTGGATTATGACTATTTGAATTATTAGGATGAAAACTAAAAGAACACTTTAAATTAGTTTACTGTCTAGATCACTTTCAAATTGGAATTCGAATATAATATAAAGTCTATTTAAACTTATTGTGTTACCAGATATTACATATAAGTCATCTGTTTGTCATGCACTTAATGAAAACAATTGAAAACACTTGCAAATAGTATTAAGTAATGCATTAAGTGCAGCAGTTAGTTATTTTTGTATATACTGGTGTTCAGTATGGGTTTTTTTTGAGACCCAAAGTTGACCCAAGTTGCACTCTGGTATATATCTACTGAATATTCGCTCGAGATTACTAATACTGCTAAAATAGAAAGCATACGTCACGTCAATAATTCAATAACCAATATTAATAGCACAATGCAGAAAAAGAATCTATTACTTATTCGTGTGATGCTTTGAAACATGTTGATTTGTATAACTTTATTCTTAGGCCTTAGGTCGTAAAGCATGTGTCAGTAGCTTTTAATCTTGCTTTTTTCGTAGATTTAGTATTATTTTTCGATATTTTGTTGGTTTTTTCTATTGTAGATATATTTAAGTACGAATGAATCACTGAAAATTCCCAAATTTTCAATTGGAATTAAATATATGTATATGTGATGGCTTTCAAAAAAATTCCTCTAGTTCATATGAAAATTGCATATACTCTTTGATTAATCAAGCAGAACAATATCTTGATGAATCCAGTAGTTCAATTGATGAATTACAAAATGTTTTCGAACAAATTAATTAAGTAATAATATCAAATAATTCAGGTACAAACTAAAGTGAGCCACAAAAGTTTGAGACATCTTTATATATATATATATATATATGTAAGTAAGGTTGAGATCTACATGATTCATTTATGTGTCATCGAATCGGTTGTTAGCTGAGAATGTACAGTGAAATACAATTTTTTCTCTATAGTCAAAAGTTTAAAACACTTTTAGTATTTTACCAATTTTATTATTATTGAAAACAGAAAAACAAAAATCTACTAAAATATATCATTAGATGCAGAATTGAACGAGCTACATTTTGGTATAGAAATTTTTTCTTAATTATTAATTTTAATAATTAATAATTTTAATCAATTAATTAATTAACATAATTTTTTTCATGATTTTTTATTTTCAAGTATATCATTAGAAAGAGCATTGAAAATTGAACAAAACTGTGTATTTTTTTGTTTTGTAATAACTAGCTACAATAGAATTTTTTGAAATATTTTTTTAATAAACTCAGTAATAATCTATTAATAATTAAGATTCAAATAAGAACTTCAGAACTCTGGAAAATAGTGCATTTTGTATAGCAGAATTTTTTCTACCGGATGATACTTTACAATCTTCTGTACAGTAATATATGTTTCATCAAATATATGACTTTAAAGATATTAAAGATCGAATAAGTAGAAAAAAAAAAGTAGAAAGTGTCTTAAACTTTTGTGGTTCACTTTAAATTAAATAAATGCTTTTTGTTTTGTTTATATATTTTTTTTCTTATAGAAGAATCGATCAAAGTCGAATCATCATTATCAAAAACGAAACGTTATTTTCATGTTTGCAAGTGTAATAGGGAAAATAGCAATGCAAATGGTAGAATAAAATTTTTCTTTTAATCAATTTAAATTAAATTATAAGAAATCAAACATTATTAAGAAATACTCTTTCATAAACAAAATATATTTTTTTCTTCTATTCCATATTTGTTTCAACCCATGAATTAAGTTCTAATTGTTTTCTTGAATTTTCAACCTAGAAGTGTTCATAGATATAAGTCTGATGACTTTTGGAATAGCTTGAAAGTTTCAGCTAAAAAGAAAACGCTCATTTATTGAGATATTACATTTCCAAATAAATTTGATTTTGTCCATTTTTCTAACGCCAATATCTATTTATACCCCCCCCCCCCTCGAAAATTGATCTCGGCACAGGAACATTCAAATGACATAAAAATTTCAGGATATGTTGGGGCTGGTGAGACATGGCTATGGTCAAATTTTCAGTCATATAGCACGATGTTTAACCGAGATATGCACCAAACAAGGACCAAAAATAGCTCTTTAGTATCTCCAAGTTTTCTCTGTGCGTCTTCATTCTAGACATTTAATTTTTTTTTTGTTTGAAAGAACGTGTCAGAATGCAGCGATTCTCGTGGCCCTTTTTTTTAAAGTCTTACTTTTTAGGGGAAAAAACCGGAGCGAAAGTTCAATGACGCAAAAAAGCTCTCTAAAAATTGCGCTGCTCCGGTAGAGATGTTATCTTCTATGATAATAAAAAAGCTTATTTTAAAAAAAGGGCCATGAGAGTCGCTAGCCCTGCACATAAGCTTTCAAACAAAAAAATATATTTGGCTTTATCTCTTACTGTGATGGAGTTCTGCTGGAGATACGTCGTTGAACCCACGTCCTGAGAAAAACGAAAAATGATTTTCGGTTTTTTGTAAAAACGGCCTGTTTTTCGAATAGGTGGTGATGAAAACCTACAACATTTTTTGGGAAAAAAGGAGGTGCCGAGTAAAAATTTTTGTCGTGTATGAAAGAGCATATCACGGGCTATCTCCCTATGCATATTTCTCAATTTCGATGATTCTGACGAAAAGTGACTTTTTTGAGGGTGGATGGCCTTAATGAGTGAAATCTGGTTATTTTTGAATAAATACTGAAGGATGGCTCGAAAATTCAGTAAAACGGTCATAACATGACTTCTTTTAAGCATTTTCGACTGTTAGAAAGTTTTGTTCCAATATGAGTTCAAATAGTAGAGATCAGATCATGTAGTTTTTTCGTAGGGTAAGAAAACTTTTCAAAATAGATGTAATTTTTGTATGTTTAGACGTAGTAGAAGTTGGAAGCTCACGAGGTAAGTTTAATATTTTAATTTTAGAAAAAGTAAAACAATCATGATTGATTTAAGATAATTGACGTTCAACGTATATCAATCATGATATTATGGATACTATTTCACTTAAGTAAGTTTCTTTTCGATTAGAAAACAATCTGAAACCTATTGAATATTTTTTTTTTCTTATAGTGAAACAATGACATCTGATAAGGTAAAAATAATTATATCGAAACAAGAGTAAATTAGAATTCGACATTTCTTGCTCTAATCTGTTCAAAGATGAATTAAATAAATTCATATTTGTTTTTATCGAACGTTGTTAAAATCCTCTAAACTTAGTGAAAGAAAATTGTCAAATTAGAAAAATATCAGCATATATTCAATATAAGTTATGTAGAAAAGCAAACTTCTCAATCAATGAAGTTCTAAAAGAATAGTTTTTTCATTGACGAATGTATAAAATATTTGTTTATCAAGACGATTAATTAGAATACGAATTTACCTTTTTGAAATAGTTTTGTACACATTAATTAGAGAAAATTTTCTGAATTTAAATATTTTCCCTTCGTAGCAAATTTCTATTTTTAGTACAAAACAACTAATTTTCAGTCAAATCATGGATGATATACTTCATTCTAATAAATAGAATATTTATATTATCATGAAATTCGTATTCAAATCGACATAATATGATATCTATTATAAACTCGATTCGTTATGTTTTGTATACGTCTAGATTTATTTTTATTTTCTATGCAATGAATTCTACATAATATTTAAATATTCATTAAAATTTTTTGTTTTTAGAGTCAACGTCTAAATAAAAAACGAAAGAAACATAAACAAATATCATAGAGAATGATTATTGATGAATGTTCATTAAGATTTGATGGAACATTTGCTCTTACTAAAGCAAATCATTCTATTGAATTTTGTCAATATGAAGAAGATGATCAAGTTCGACTATATAATCATTTTCTTAGAAAGCATAAATTACAAGAAGTTTATGTTCGACGTTTAATAGAAGCTGTTACTAATAATCAAGATCCTCGAACAGCGAAATTATTTAATGAATATGAAATTGTTCTAGATCATTTTTATCATGTACCATGTCCTTTTAGTAATGGACGACTTGATTTATCAGAATATAATCAAACCTATTTAAAAAATATACCATGTTCACTTCATAGACTTCGATTTGATGAATTAAAATTTCATTTACGACGTCATCATAATGTTTGTAATGGATATACACAAAAATTAATTGATGTTTTCAAACAAATTCGAGCAAAACACAATACTCTTTTGATTCCACAAAGTTCATCGATGATATTAGAAGAATAGAAAATCTTAAAATTGTTTTCATTGATATTTGTTTCATGTGTTTTCTTTTCGGTTTTTGTAAATAAAGAATTCAATAATTTAATAAAGAAATCTAAGTAATTCATTGCTATGAAAAAATTAACGAAAAAACATATGCAAATCGTTTGTTTTTTTATCAATAGGTCATGAATCGAAATCTTTTCAAGCATGGATTTCTCTGACTAAGACCTTCTCTTATTCATAATATGAAGTTGAATGGTGTCCGAAAGTGTGTTCGTGAGGGTGTGAGTGTGGACGTGGGTATGTGGATGTTTGTGTGGAAGAACAGAGTATAGATATTCAAACGTTGACCTATACCTAGGGCTGGACTAGCCCAGCGATTTCTTGAGTCGAGTCGAGTGAACTTATTTTTGCCCTTTTTTTGTTTTTCTTTATAAAGAATGTCAACTACAGGTTTTTCATTGCACGATATGTAGCTTCTAGTTTTATGAACAATAACAAAACTAAGATGAGACAAAATAAAATGCTATTACTGTTTTAGGTTAATCAAAAAAATAATAGAACTAAAGTCAACCTTTCTTTTTTTATATAAGTCCACATTACAGTAATAAACATCACTTTCTTTTTTATAAACAAAAGCCTCAACAAATACCCTGTTACAAGTAAAATCAATTTATTATTATTAAATTCATGTCTTATTGCAATTAAAAAAATACTAACATACAAATATAAATGGTTGCAACTCTTTAATGATTTCGTCTAAGTAAAACATCGGTTTGGAAAAGCACATTCAATTGGTACTATTGCAATAGAAACATATATAACTTCTTTTAGCAAGTTATTTATGAGATCGGTATGAATTTACTTCCTTGGAAATCAGAGGGTGGGTTTGGGTGAGTAGAACATTATACACATATTTCTCTTTGGTAAGAAATAAATGACGTAAAATGAGCGGCGGAAACATTTGGTGATTGATGCTATGCAAAACTTTAATTTATTTCATTACAAAACATGTGTACACTCTCTAAAGATCATCCGACAAAAAAAAGAGAAAAAACACACATAGTCAGTAATATGAAGAGGCTAGCATTTACGATTGTATCAAAATATAGGTCTAGAAACGCTCCGGAAAAATAATTTGAACACAATACAAACAATAGAACTAAAAGTTATGAATAAGTGATAATATAATTTTATAAATTGTGATTTTTTTGAATAAGACCAAATGGAAATTTTTGCGAATAAATGACTCGAGTCCGAATCATTAGAAAAGTTCGATAGCATTTTTTCAGAATGGTTGAGATTACATTGCTGACAAGCTATGAAATCACAAAGCGAAAAGATCTACAAAATGATAAAAGAATACTATCTTTGTCTATACTCTCATTCTATCAGTATATCATTTGTATAGATATTCTTCAAAGGCATTTACTAAATTTCTTTTTCGAACTATATATATTTATTATATATTTCCTATATTTTCATACATGGTCATCATAGAAAAATCCTCTATAGTGTTTTGCTTTGCTCTGACGATTGCATAGATGTATATTGTATTGTTTATTTTCGTTAGTTTATCAAACGAATTTCAAAATTTTCTCGAAAAAACTGGAATTATATATTATGTTGTGTTGTCACTAATGACTCTTAATATGAATTTATTCATTTCCATAGTCTTTATCAATAAAGATAAGTGATGTGAAATATGATTTAATCTCACCAAAACTAGTAATAGAATTTTATTGGAATTTTACCAGTTTGTTAAATTCTTCATTAGAGTTTGCGCTGCTAGATGCATGCAATAGTTGTATGGCAACGAAAACTATGTTTTTTGTTATTCACAAAAGAATTCTGTTAGTTGTTTTCAATTTTTTATTGAAATTTCTACCGTGTCAAAAGTATCCAATTTTAGTACGTATATGTGGAGTTTGACTTCTGCTGGTAGTAATAGAATTCTATTCTCAAATCCACACCCCATATTCACATCCAAACTATAGCCATCAACTCATAGTTATAAAGAAGAACTATAATCCGTGGTATATTTGTTCACGTAAGTCACAAGTAGTTCTGATCAAAGATTTCATATCATCTTTTTAACAGTTCGAAAATAACTCAACTCTTCAATACCAGTATTCTTCAAAAATCTCAAAATTGGTATCAGAAATCTTTATTTTTATTTTCTAACAATAACCTAGCAATCTGCCAAGTCATACGCTCATCAAATCCTTCCAATTTTCAATCGCATTATCTATATTAGCAATATTTATTATTTAACCGATCGTTTATTCTGTTCAATCAGTTTTCGCATACAATGTTGAAATTTCTATCCCATTCGACTGTGTTTAAGATCTAGAGTTATGTATATCAATGTGAAAAAGTGCAGATTAGGATATGAAAGAAATAAAGAGACAGTAAATGTCACTGGTTTCTTCCATAAAAAATAGCCATGTATCGTGCATTGACACATGCAGCATTGTTGTAGAAGGATATGCTGATGAGTGTCTGTGTGAAAAAGAGCAAGCTGAGATATAAGAGAGATAAAGAGAAAATGAAGGTCACTGTGTTATTTCTTAATCCATCACCCAGATATTGTGCTCCGAGTGTTTCGATTTGGTTCCATCGGATATCTAGCGTGGTAAGTGTCTGTGTGAAAAAGTGCACATAGGGATATGAGAGATATAAGCAAGAAACGAAGCTTACCGTATTATTTCGTAATGTATCACTCAAATGTTGTGCTCCAAGATCTCCAATTTGGTTTGTGTGGAGATTGAGTGTGGTGAGTGTCTGTATGGGAAAGTGTAGGTGGAGATGTGAGAAAAGTGAAGAGAGAATAAGACTCACTGTGTTGCTTCGTAATGCATCAGAGATGTGTTGTGTTCCAAGAGCTCCAATTCTGTTCGTATGGAGATTGAGTCTGGTGAGAGTCTTCGTGAAAAAATACAGATGAAGGTATGAAAGAAGTGAAGAGAGAATGAGACTCACTGAGTTGTTTCGTAATGCATCAGCTAGATGTTGTGCTCCAAGATCTCCGATTTGATTTGTGCTGAGATCCAGTGTGATGAGTGTCTGTGTGAAAACGTGTAGATGGACATGTAAGAAAAATGAAGAGAGAATGAGACTCACTGTGTTGTTTCGTAATGCATCAGCCAAATATTGTGCTCCGAGAGCCTCGATTTGGTTTGCGTCGAGATTGAGTGTGGTAAGTGTCTGTGTGAAAAGTTGAAGATGTAAATATTAGAGAAGTGAAGAGAGAATGAGAGTTACTATGTTGTTTCGTAACGCATCAGCCAAATGTTGTGCTCCAATATCTCCAATTTGATTTCTACTGAGATCGAATGTGGTGAGTGTCTGTGTGAAAAAATGCAGATGAAGATGTGAGAAAAATGAAGAGAGAGTAACACTCACTGTGTTGTTTCGTAATGCATCAGCCAAATGTTGTGTTCCGAGAGTTCCAATTTGATTATTGTGGAGCTTGAGTGTGGTAAGTATCTGTGTGAAAAAGTGGAGAAGAAGATGTGAGAAAAAGGAAGAGAGAAGAAGACTCACTGAGTTGTTTTGTAATGCATCAGCCAAATGTTGTGCTCCAATATGTCCGATTTGATTTGTGTTGAGATCGAGTGTTGTGAGTGTCTGTGTGAAAAA